TATTGTGAAAAGTCAAGGAAAGGTTTATATATGGAAGGAAACTTTCTTTGTTGGTTACCAGGAGTGGGAAGGGAGGAGAGGAAACACTGCAAAAAGAAAAAAAGAAAAAAGAAATACTGTCTGCTTGCACTAAACAACAGAAGACAACTGTATGATGGAATCATATCTTGGTTTTCATCCAAGCTACATTCACTGAGGATCTTCTATGCATCCACTCTATGTATATTTAAGTGAATGATTCTCAGGCATGGTTAGCCACTGAGTGTACACAGATTAATCCAATATATTCCATAACAGTTTAACAGTGCAGTTGGCACAGGACCGAGCAATGTTGTGTTCCATTGTACATGAGGTCCCCATGAATTGGAGCCAACTTGACAGCAACTAACAACCACCACAACAGTTCAATAGTAGAGTCCATTCGGAATCAATAACACATAGTATAATAATCTGACAAGCAAAACAAAGGAATTAGAATAATATACAAGGGGAAGTGGTAGCAGAGAGGCTCCTAGGTCTAGGGAGGTCAAAAAGGAGAATAAATTAATTGGATCAGCATGTCATTTTAGTTCACCTATGTTTCCCCAGCTTCTAAAATAATGCCTGGCACATAGTATATGGCCAAGAAATAACTGATAAGTGAAATAACTCAAAAGAAGCAACAAAAAATTAATTAAGAAACAACTAGCAAGGGCTGGTAGTAATAAGAAATCACAGTGCATTAAATGTTAACTCTAGGCAAAGCATTTTGTCAACATGATCATAGCTCCTCTTTCTTCATGACAATCCTACCAAGTTACCCCCTTTTACAAATAAAGTGAGCTTCAAAGAGTTTAAGTTCAATTTGCTCCAGCTGTTGAAGCCTTGATGGCCCAATGAAACCTCAAGAGAAGAGGTCTCAGTCAGGAACCAAAAACCAAACCCACTGCCATTGAGTCAATTCCAGATAACAAAGAAAGTTCAACGAAGGCCAAGAAGTGTAAAGGAGAAAACAGGTCTCCATTCCTGTGTGGCTGCCCTGGTCCCTCCAGTGGGTTTCTGTTGCCCGGCCTGTGATTTGTTTTTGCACCTCCCAATGCCACCGCCATTGATTCTGACTCACAGTGACCCTTCAGGACACAGTAGAGCTGCCCCATAGGGTTTCCAGGGCTATATCTTTACAGAAGCAGATTGCCTCATCCTTCTCCCATGAAGTAGCTGGTGGGTTCCAACCACCGACCTTTTGATTAGCAGCTAGATGCTTAATTTCTGCGCCACCAGAGCTCCTCAGTCAGGAAACCTAGAAGAAAACCAAGCAACAGGAGAAGGGGCTGGAAAGATGGGCAGGAGTCAGATCATGAAAGATCTTGCATGCCCTGCTGAGAATCTGGATGTTATCCTGGAGGCAAGGGGAGTCTTGAAAAGGTTCCAAGTAGCAGAGCAACACAGTTAGATGTGCATTTTAGAACGATCACCGGGCTACTTCATGGAAAAAGGACTGGGTTTAGGCAAGAGTGGGAGCAGACAGTTGAGACGGGACCCTGGTTCAGTAATCCAAGCCAGAGGTGGTGTGCTGCTGAATGAGAGCAACGCGAACAGAGACAGGGTTGAAATTTAGGAGGTACAATCAGCAGGACAGGAGGAGGGAATCTGTCTGATGAGAAAGGAGAGGCTAGCATGCAGTTCCAGATTTCTATTTGCATAACTGGGTGAGTGGTACAATGCTCGCAGAGATGGGAACCATGAGAGAAGAAGGTGTTAAGTAAAGGGGTAAAAAAAAGATGAGCAACCAGTTGCCATTGATTTCAACTCATGGCAACTCCTCTTGGCTAGGGATGGAGCAACAGAAGCCAGCCGCCTCAAGATAGTCATGTAAAGCATGATCAAGCAAGATATCCACACATTTCCATTCAGTCATCTTTCAATCACATTACAATATTAGTAAATGAACACAGTTATAAAACAAAATTAAGAGGTTTGTTGTTATTGTTTTAATTTACCTTGGATTCCTGGGCCCAAGAACAAGCAGGTTTAGGTAGAAAAGATTAAGAAGATGGGTAAAAGGCTTGCTTATGGGGAAGACTCTGACAGAGACTTGCAACTCTGGGCCGATTTGTGGGTGCCAATTCTGTTTGTAACGTTCACTGTGGGACTTAGGCTTTTCTTCTTTCACATGGGTCACTTACCTGCATGATCATTACACTCACTGTGTATGAATCCAGCTCATTTTTTGAGTCTTAAACGAAACTGAAAGCACTCTACTTTCACCAACATTTAAAATAAACTTACTTCTCTTCTATGAATTCTAGGTTGGTCTAGTCTCTCAGTCTTTCTGTCTCTTCTTTTCTCGGGATCTCCTTCTCTTCACTTCCTGTTCTCCAGCACTGTGGGTGAGGGATTCTCCAGATGCAAGGCCAACTTAGAGCCCAGGCTACTCATCCATTTTGGAATTTTGAGGGGAACAAAAGGAAACTTTGGGAACAGAGAGAATGGCGTGACAACTGCCTGCTGAGGTAAGCCTCTGCTCTCTAGTCTACCATTCCCAGGAGAGCAAGACTTCTCCAAAAGCCAGGTCCAGGACAGCCAGATCACACAGTAGGGAACTCATCCGGAGGGAGAGAGAAGCCGAACCACAATTCAGAGAATCAGTGGGGAAGTGACTTTCGGGGAGGAGGTGAGGGTATTCAGCCGATCCTAAGTCAGGGGTTTTACGTTGGATGTTTATTTAATCAGTCAGTGCCTCGATTTGAGAAAGTGCTTCACCCCAAACATTGAAAGCTGTACAGATCACTTCTAAAGATGATTCTACCTTCTCATCAGACCATTCTTAAGTAAAATCTTGTGACTATTTTATCATAAATTCTCCTTCCTTAATTCCTTCAAAGTGTTGAGTAATTCACTTGTCACAAAAAGCCTGCAAAAATTTGCATTTTTCAAGAAAATGCATTATCAAAGGATGAAGACTACACTTATTGCCTGTATGATTACATTTATAATATTTTTCATTATAGGATAATTTTTAAATCTTTATTGAACTCCCAAGCATATTATCCTCATGCACATGGATTCTTTTAACCCAACAGCTACTCTCAATTTTAAATTGAAGCCAGTTGAGGCGTAAATTATTGCAGACAACAGTATACAAGTACTAAACAACTGGTTGGCACTCAAACACTTCATTTGCTGTTTCCGAGTTTTATTTAAAACAAAACAACAACAACAACAAAGTGTCATCCAGATCATACCACAAATACTGTTTCAAACACGAAGGCCCATTACACCTACATGTGAATCCAACGGACTTCATTTTTCAATCCCCTTCCCATCAGCTTAGCCCCAACTGTTAACCACAGGTACTCGCCAAACAGTACAGCCAAAAGCAAATCCTCAAGCTCCCAGGAAGGACTACTTTTCCTCGCTTATCTTTTGCAAAAGTATTAAAAAAATCTTTAAGGTGAGGAAGGGAGATTCAAGAATTGGGCAGGGGGGAGCGGGTCACTAATATTGATTGATATTTTTCATAAGAATTATGACCATCATGAGTGTGGTGGTGACACTGTGCTAAGTGCTTTACCTCTCAAATTCTCACTGCCATCAAGTCCATTCCGACTCATAGTGGCCCCAAGGCTGTAAATCTTTATGAAAGTAGATTGCCCCATCTTCCTTCTGAGGAGTGGCTGGTGGGTTTGAAGCACCAACCTTCTGGTTAGCAGTCAAGTGCCTTAGGCACTGTGCCACCAGAGGTCCTTTGGGCAGCCTCCAGAAATTGAAGAAGGCAAAGGAACAGATTCTCCCCGAGAGCCTTCAGAAGGAACCCAGTCCGGCCAACACCTTGATTTGAGCCCAGTGAAACTGATTTCTCATTTCTGACCTCTAGGACTGGAGGATAATAAATTATGTTGTTTTAAGTCACTAAGTTTTTGGAAATTTATTACAGCAGTAATGGGAAAC